TGACCCTACTTTCTATCTTAATAGATTTATAGATCTATCAGAATCTATTGAATATATATTGCTCATTCTGGACACTTCATGTAAATGGAATCATACGATATGTGACCTTTAGTTTCTGGCCTCTCTCACTTAGCAGGCTTCAAGTTTCATACATTTTGTAGCATATATCAATGCTCCAGTTCTTTTTATCGCCAAAAAAATATCGCATTGTATAGATAGGCCATAATTTATTTATGCATTCATCAGGTGTTGCATTATTTGGGTCATTTCCCCTTTTTGGCTATTGTGAATTGTGATGCTATGAATACGTGTGTACAAATTCTTGTGCGGACATATGTTTTCATTTCTCTTGGCTATATAAATAGTGGGATTGCAGCTAGTAGTTGGCGCTGCCTCTCTATTTCTGAATATGCAGATACATACTTCTCACAGATAAATGTATACCTTAGCTTTTTTGCTTTAAGTAACTTAATGAGGTAAGTGCCCTTCCTATTTTATAATACAAATTTAAAAACTGAGATTTTGAGAGATTTGCCTTACTGTTTCTTGGTGTATGGCTTTGTCTATGCTATATCCTTTTTTTTTTTTTTAAGGATGCCCTCCTTTCTGTCCCTTGCCAATCCTTTAGGTTTGAACTAAGGCTCTACTTCTTGCCAGTCTGCTTGGACTCCATGCCTGGGCCAGGTGCTTTGCTCTGTGCTTCCAAAACATTCTGAGCATTGGTTTACTATGGCCTTTGTCACATTCCACTATATTTATAATGGTAGGGACATTATACCCTAGGGAAGGGTACTGTCCTCCTCAACTTTGTCTTCCATGCCAAAGACAGGCCTGGCGTGAATTGTCTCCTGAATTCTGTTGATGAAAATTAAGAAAGAAGGGCCCAGATACATGCTAGAAAGTGGTCTTTCAGATTGGTAATATCTTGTTTGTCACATAATGCAGTTTGAGTTGACAAAAACCAGGGAGTATATTTAGACAAAAAGAGTTTTCACTTTACTAAATCACTTAACACAACCTTCTTATAAATAGTGAGTCCCCCTGGGAGACTGATGCCCAAAAGGTTGTATGTCTGCCACAGAAATACCCAGAATGCTTTTAGTGATACATGAGGGACATTTTTAACTTAATGGTTAATTATTTATTTCAAAATATATTATAAATAAATACAACTAGAATATCAAACCCATTATATCATTGTTTAGAAGCAGGCTAAAATGTTTTTTTTTTTTAATGAAGACTAGTTAAAAAATATATTAAGTAAATCATGGTGCGGATAGAACACAGATACGGCAAGTATTATAGAGATGGTCAAAAGAATTCAAGCTTCAGAACACTATTTAAGGGCATTTAACATATGAAAAGTCTGAAATACTTCATGGAGCGCCCAGAGGATGCTGATACTGCAGGCGCCAGGTCACACTCTGAGCAGCAAGGTTACAGAGCATAAATGAAGGTATAAAGTAATAGCATAATACTACCTACTACCTCTTCAGTTCTACTATGCATTGGGTACTCTTCTAGGTGTTTTATAGATGTTAAATTTATCCATGTTCATAAAAATCCTGTAAGGTAGCTACTAATATCTCCACTTCACAAATGAAAATGTAAAAATCAGAATTGGTTTGACTTTTAGTCATAAGTTTTTTCCCACAAAATAAGATACACAGGCCAAGAGGAAGTAATAGCATTTTCCTTATTTCATCATTGCTATAAAATAAAATAAATCAAGCTAGAGGGACCTAAACCATTTCTTGGCTTTGGCCAGTGCAAGATCTCAATGCTCATTCTATTCACATGTCCTTTCTATGGCCTCATTGTGAGTCAGAAAGTAATCTGGTCCAGGGATCAAAGCCTGAAACGTTTTCCCATTTCCTTCCCCACATTCAAAACAAAACAGCTCTGGGCAAGGGATGCACTTCCGTCCCATGGTTATTTGATGAACACACACACACACACACACACTTACTAAAACACAATTTGGAATAAAAAAGCATTCTTAAAACAAATATCAATTACCTATGGTAAAAGAATATATATATATATATATATATATATATATATATATATATGCATGCCCATGTGTACAATGGTTTCAGCTGCCCATTAGGGGAATTACGTTGTTGTCTCAAGTTAAAATTACAAATTTATTTCCACATGGTTATTCTGTGAGATGTGTTTATCTCTTAACACATTATCTACCTACCTACCTACCAATCTATCCTAAAGATTCCAAAGCTCCCCATTAAGATAAATCCAAGAAGAAGAATAAATAAAACAAAGTTTTCTTTTTCAGAGGGCCCCAGGGCCCTTTGGGGTCATGGAGGCGGAGATCTGTTGCTAGTCACAGACCACAGATGACCAAGGTGCCTTACATGCCTTCAAAGGGGAACTTTATTCCCTGTCTAAAAGTAGGTTCCACAAACCTGAGGGCTTAGGGCTCAATCTGGTCTGGTTCTTCCGTTGCTGTCTAATTTGGAAATGTCCAAGTTAAGTGCAGAGACCTGACTTCTCTTGAAAAATGGGAAGACTGGGCAACACTGGACCTAGATTCTTAGATCAGCTTCAGCTATTTGCAGTGGAGGAGTGGCTGTCCCTCTTGACCATCTCAGCAAGTTTCACTCATGTCCATTATCTGCCTTGGCCCTGTAGGCTTTTGAATTTGGAATTCCTGGTTTTATAAGCAGGGCTTACAAACAGCCAATATTTGTTCATCATTATCCTGGGGGAAAATCTGGCCAAGTACGTTGGAACACTGAAAAACAGTTTCCTTTTAACAAAGTGAGAGCAGCTGGTTCACACAAGAATTATTCACTGAGTTTGTGGAAGCCAGTGTGCCCCCATTTAAACACTTTATATTACTCAGATATGCAAGTGACAAATCTCCCGCCCCCCTCCCCTTATAGTGCAGCTGGTTGTCAATTAGAGTACCCTTGGCTCATATTCTCTGAAGCTCATTTTAAGTACTACTAGAAGTGACTCTGAAAGTGCCCCCAATACTTTTTCCATCTAGTTTGTTGGTTAGTAGGAGGTGAATTTCCTGAGGGTCATAAGAAGCAGTAGAACGAAGGGTGATCTTCAGGTATGGTAGGGAGATGATATCCAGGGAATTGAACTACTCTTTTTAAAAAAGCAAGTACTTTTTCAAGTTACTTTTTCATTTCTCAACTTGCTCAATTTAGAGGCTGGAGAACATTACAGTTATCCAGCTTTTTATTCATTCAGTAAATGTTTATCAAACACCAACTTTGTTGCCACAAACTGTGCTAAACTGGAGATGCAACAGTAAATGAGACTGGGTCCCCTGCCTGGAAAAGTAGTTATTTAAATCTTTATGCCCCAATAGCAACTTGAGAAGCGTCTGGTGGCATCTTATAGGTAGAGCAAAGACTCATCCATCATGATCCCCCAAAAAGATCCTACAATTTTCCCATCTGTTTGCTTCCCAACAGATACAGATATATTTGCCTTGAGAAAGATTTTCCAAAGGTCTTACTATCTCTCACCCCTAAGACACCTCCAACTAACACAGACACCCTTGGCAATAATGAAGCTTCAAAAGCCTCCGGGGCAGGGTAGGAGCCAACCCAAAGCACCATGGTGATTGATCTGCATAGGAGCTGTCACTACTCAGGTACTGCACTGCTGGGAGCCAGAAACACTGTCCCAATGTTGCCAAACACTGCAAGAGAAGCCAGAAATTGGAATTTGTGTAGTGTAACATCTTTTTGAGAGTTAGGGTTTGAACTGATTTTTATTTATTTATTTTTATTTTTTTAAAACATTTTTTAAATTTTTTTTTTATTTTTTATTTACGATAGTCACACACAGAGAGAGAGAGAGAGAGAGAGAGAGAGAGGCAGAGACACAGGCAGAGGGAGAAGCAGGCTCCATGCACCGGGAGCCTGACTTGGGATTCGATCCCGGGTCTCCAGGACCGCGCCCTGGGCCAAAGGCAGGCGCCAAACCGCTGCGCCACCCAGGGATCCCTGAACTGATTTTTAAACCCAGTTTTGATCATCAAAAATGGGGTTGCAGGCAGGTTTCAGTGATGCGATCCCTAGACTGTGATCTCTGATTTCAGGAGACCCCATGCTCCACCCCCTCATTTTGCGTTTAACAGGGAATCTTTTCTTTTTTTTTTTTTTTAAGATTTTTAAAAAATTTATTTGACACAGAGACAGTGAGAGAGCACACGCAGGGCGAGGGGCAGAGAGAGAGGGAGAAGCAGGCTCCCTGCAGCAGGGAGGCCCTGTTGGGGCTCCATCCCAGGACCCCTGGTGTCATGACTTGAGCCAAAGGCAGATGCTTAACCTGCTTAACAGACTGAGCTGCCCAGGCACCCCTTAACAGGGAATCTTTTTTTTTTTAAACATTTTTTATTTATTGATTCATGAGAGACACAGAGAGAGAAGCAGGCTCCATGCAGGAAGCCCGATGTGGGACTCAATCCCTGGACCGGGATCACGCCCCGAGCCAAAGACAGACACTCAACCACTGAGCCACCCAGGAGTCCCAACAGAGAATCTAAACTAGAACTAGCAACCTGGAATTTGCCTTTTCCAGGAAGTCCTGTGGGGCCTCTCATGTTTTTGAAAATCCAACACAGGGAAACATTCAGTCTTCCTGCATCTATCTCTCAATATTTCTCTTTCTCTACTATTCAATCTATAAATACTTCTTTTCATTAAAGAGTGGATCTTGAATATATTGATCAATCAATACAAGCTATTCTTTAAGAGTACTCTTTGTAAGATATATGTGATAATAACATAATTTGGTTCTTCTGACAATCCTTAACTTTTCATATTCACATCATTCTGGCTTGGAATAAAAATCCTTTCCTGGGCACTTGTCCCTTATTTCTCTGGACTGGTGTTGAGCTAAAAAAAAAGCTCATGAGTGCCTTATCTTTCAATATCTACAAGGACTTCATTCTCTACCATTCACAGATGTTCTATTTGCCCTGCCTAGATTGTATAAGCTAATTACATGAAAGATTTTGTTTTGATTTTCCATCTCTCTGTTCTCAGAGCTACTTTCTTTTTATCAAACTGCAGTTAAAGAGGACAGAAGTGAGAATATAATGTGGTTTTGTTTTTATTCAGGGAAGACATTTTCAATCTTTAATTGTTTTACTGTAGTTTCTTACCTCATTAGAATTTAATTTATGCACAATAAGTAGAATTCATTTTAATTAGCAATCCTGGATTGTGGACTTTTCCTTAGCAATATCCCAGAAGAGGCTTCAACTTTAAGCATGATTCAGATTCCCTGCTCTTCTAGGACTGTATTATAAAAAGCAAAAGCAAACAAACAAAACAAAAAAATTAAAAAAAAAACAAAAAGCAGAAACAGAACATAAGTACAAACCAGTGTCCCTAACCCAATATATTCATTTAAAACATTTTAATCACCTTGGGATATTTATTCATAACATTATAATCACTTTAGGATGCTTTGACTATTGTTTGGTCTTTTTTTTTTTTTTTAATCTCCTTATAGTTGCCACCAAAAGAATATGCGTTGAACACAGCCAATACTGATTGTTCTCTGGAAATGCCTATCTCTCAGGTATTGAACAATGATCATTTCATCATCAGGACTTCAAACTGAGGCCTTAGTAGTTAGTAATGCCTAAACGTGACCTAATTTTCTGAGAATGAGGAAAGTGACTACGGAACCCAAGACAATAATAATAGCTGGCATTTTTAACATTTTTTAAATTGTTTGCTACATGCCAGCGTTGTTCAAATCACTCTGCATCAGTCAGCTTATTGAACCTATTTCATCTTGTTCTTCTAGGTGGCATAGCTGAGGTACAGACAGGCAGTGTGACTGGCCCAAGGTCACAGAGGTAGTTGCAGAACACATATTTGAATCCATGCCCTCTGGCCTGGGAGCCTGCAGCCTTAACCACTTGCCTGCCCTGCCTCCTGGGCGTGAGAAGATATGGTGAAAGTTGATGGCTTTTTCCTTTTAAGTTTGCTTCGAGTAGCTTTAGTTTTTCCATTTATCCCAAATTCTTCATTTGTTAATTTCAACAGTATATTTACCAGGATACTGTGGCAAACTCATTATTGAAATGTATTCATAGTTTCTTGGAACTTGGAAGAAAGGCTACATAAATATTACAGAATGATTTAAAAAATATATGAAATGTATTCACCTGAATATAGGATGGTCCAATTTCGTACTATAAATAAATGAATGGGTGCTGACTCTTGAACCAAGTCCTGAGGCTGTGGCTGCGCCAGGTCGCTCTACGTAATCTCACAGTGCAGGCTGCTCGGGCTCCAGGGATAATGGTCAGATTCTAGACCAGGAGTGAGTCCTCCTGAGGCCTCAGGAAACTGCAGCCCAGGCTGCGGCTAGGCCTCCAGGTGCCACTTTCCTCGAATCTTCTACTATCCTAATGCCATGAGAGGAATCTGAAGAAGCAAGAGAATGGATAAATAGAGATACAGTCACACAGTGGAATATTACTCAGTGAGGAAACAAATGAACTAAATAGATGTACAACACGGATGAATTTCACAAGCATTTGTGTTGAAAGAAGACAGCCAGAAAGCAATACAGACTGTACGGTTTTGGGTTTTGTTTGTGTAAAGTGGAAGAACAGGCCAAACCTAGGGTGGGGAAAATGTTTTGCGTCTTGATCTAGGTGTGGTTACGGACAGGTATATATGCATCCATAGATCATAAGGTCCTTCACTTGCAATTAGTTCACTCAATGTGCATTATACCTTCATAAAAAAGAAAAAGTACTTGTGTAGAAGACTGTCAGACTGCAAGTGCTTGGTGGGATCTGCAGCCAGAGCTGAAGGCAGGGACCAGCTCCCAGCAGGGCTTGCACATCAAGCTAAGGGCTTGCCCTTTATTCAGCAAGCCCAGGGGCCTCTGGAAGGAGTGACGTGATCACTGTGGAGTGTTGAAAGCTCAGTCAGCATCATTCTACGTAGAGGGAGAACTGGAGCGGGACAAAACAGAGAGCAGGGAGATAAGATGACCTTAAATAGTCCTCATCTGAGAAAACTCCAATTCTCTATGGACTTGGTGAGTGCACACTCCCTGCACACACAGAGCACTCACCTCCAGCTTGGAGGAGCTCCGGGGGCCCTCCCCGCCGAACCGGCACCCCGACCATCTGAAAATGGCTTTTCCAGGGCTGCTGTGCCGCTGTGGGCTCCCCAGGGCAGGCCTTCCTGGCTCACTGCCCTTCTCGGTGTCTCCTGCTTCCCCACTCCCAGCTCCTGCCCATCACAGTTCTCTTCTCTTACCAGCAATTCCAGGGAGGAGGAGGAGGCGGTCACTGCTGCCCACACTGACCTAAATAAAATGCAGGGGTCACAGGGTCATTTCCATGGGGAGTGTGGATAATTTGCACATTCTCACTCAGGCATGCTGTCAAAATTCAAGGAATTTTCCATATTAGAATTAAGCATTGCCAACAAAGATCAGCATTTTTTTAAAAAACTGAATTGAACATGGATGATTTGTAATGTGTCTGTATCATACCTGCAAGTCTTTTAACTTTTTATATTTCTTTTGAGCTGTTTCTACTTATTCAGTAAGCATTTAATTTAAAGAACTGTTTAAAGTGTATCTGTTTATATGCTTATTTTTTATTTAAAGTTTTTTTTTTTAAATTCTGAGACACACACACACACACACACACACAGAGGGACAAGTAGGCTTCCTGCAAGGAGCCCAATGCAGGACTTGATCCTGGATCCTGGGATCACGCCCTGAGCCCAAAGACAGATGCCCGACCACTGAGCCACACCCACGTGTCCCTGTGAATGTGCTTTAAATACATATATATACAGGATAATGCCATGTCAGTAATCTGGGTTCTTTTCTGAGGTTAGCTTCTTCAAGTATGGTTCTGAATTTTTTTTTAAAGATTTTATTTATTTATTCATGAGACACACACACACACAGAGAGAGAGAGAGAGAGAGAGAGAGAGGCAGAGACACAGGCAGAGGGGGGGCTCCACAGAGGGAGCCCGATGTGGGACTCAATCCCAGGTCTCCAGGATCAGGCCCTGGGCTGAAGGCGGTGTTAAACTGCTGAGCCACCCGGGCTGCCCAGTTCTGAGTTTTTTATCATCCACCTAAAGTAGCTATTTACGGGCCATTAAATAAATAAAATATTTGGATTTAAAACAAATGCATTTCGACAACGCAGTATTCTAATTTACAAAATGAGTTGTCGTGTGTGTGCACATGCATGTGACATACAAGTACCTAGAACTCACCTACTTTGCAAATGGAGACAGCTCCATCAAAACTAAGGAATTTGCCTAAGGTTACCCTGTTTTCTTCCCCCCAGAAAGTTTTTTTTACTTTGTTTTCTTTCAATTCCAGGTGAGTTATTCTTAAAATATTGTAAGTCAGGGATGCCTGGGTGGCTCAATGGTTCAGCATCTGCCTTTTGCTCAGGGTGTGATCCCTGGATCCAGGATTGAGTCCCACATTGGGCTCCCTGCAGGGAGCCTGCTTCTCCCTCTGCCTGTGTCTCTGCCTCTCTGTGTCTCTCATGAAAAAATAAATAAATCTTTAAAAAAAATAAATAAAATATTCTAAGTCAAAATTCACCCCGGTAATTTGAAGAGAGGAATAAAATAATGTTGAAAAATAACTGAGGCCCCTGGGTGGCTCAGTTAGTTAAGCGTCCGACTCTCGATTTTGACTCAGGTCATGATCTCAGGGTTATGACACTGAGCCCTGCATGGGGCTCTGTGCTCAGCGAGGAGTCTGCTTGAAATTCTTTCCCTCTGCTCCTCCCTCCTCCATGCCCTCTCTCTCAAATAAACAATCTTAAAAAAAAAAAGGGAAAAAGAACGAACGAACTATATACATATAAATAAGAAAATGACCATCTGTAGTGGGATTAACCGAACTGTGAGCTGGAAAAGACAGGACAACAGGGGTCAAGGTATGAGACTCATCACATCTTTAAGAAGGAAGAAAGAAAACACCAGTGGGGGTGTCATCAGTTTTGCCCACTAGACACCAGCTGATGCTGTTAATTGAAGATGACTTGGTCACTGCTAGGATTGATGGGAGTGGGAGATATGTTGGAATTTAGATCCCTGGCAAAAGTTTTAGAAGATGGGATTAATGGGGGGGGACCCATGATAAACAATAAAAATTGAACTACCAATAGGATTTGATGCTGAATTTGTATAATCCTGTCTCACTTGTTTTTTGCCCTAATCCTGGTTCCAATAAAACTTTATTTACAAAACTAGGTGGGGCACCTGGGTGGCTCAGTTGGTTAAATGTCTTACTCTTGATTTTGGCTTGGGTCATGACCTTAGGGTTATGAGACTGAGCCCATCGCTGGGCTCCTCGCTAAGTGGGGAGTCTGCTTCTCCCTCTCCTTCTGCCTCTCCCCCTGCTCTCTCTCGCTCTCTCTAAAATAAATAAATAAATAAATAAATAAATAAATAAATAAATAAATAAAACAACAGGCAACTGACCTATGAGCCATGGTTTGTCAATTTGGTTTTCAAAACTTTGTATTAAAATATCATTTATCTTGATTGCTGAATTTTTTGGCATCTCCTTAAAGCTTGTGCCCAAGATAAATGCCTCACTCACCTCACCTCAGTCCTGGCCTGGAGGCAGACCTGGCAAACAGTGTACAGTGGCTGAGTTAGATGATGCACCTTGAGTGTAAAATAAAATGAAGTTGTGCATGTATTTATGCATGTAATTACTTTTTCATATAGCTACCTTAGATCCCAGGCAGTACGTTTTTATGAATGAGAGTAAGCAGAGCAAGTACAGTACCTCTCCAGGCCTGCGAGAGTGGGCCAGCATGCAGGAATCTTCCTGACCAAAAGCTTGCTGAGCCCATCAGGAGCAAAGCAATAGCACTAGGAGACCCAGGGCTGAAACTAGCATTTTAGCAATGCCCACAGTACTTCAGTGTCTAGTATCCTGTAATCTCACATTTATACCTCCCCTAGATTCATGTGAGAGGCCCTTTGCTTGGTTTTAAGCATACATTACAGTTCAAAAGCCACTCACAAGGGTCCAAAGAAAACCACAGTCCAAAGATGAAGTCAGAATTTCATCAGGATGTGAGTGGTGATTTGTCTCAGTCTTATGACTCTTATAGACTCATTTCCCAAATAATCTCCAGTCTAAAAGAACACATCTGAAACGTTACACTTCCTGCAAGAATGTACAGTACAATGATTCCCTGTTCCGGGACATTATATGCTTTAGTGAGTCTTTAACAGACTTTGGATATTTTGTTTTCCTACTAAGGTGTCAACTGAACTCATAATTGCATTTAGGGTCAGTATGGCTTCCTTCTAACTGATTTAGTACATACTTAAAGATTTCCTGATGTCCAGATCTGAGAACATCATCACCCATGGAGTCACTCTGAAGGTAGTCATAATTGTCTTTAAAATCTGCAAACAGTTCTCAGAATGGCTAATGTGATGTTTGTGCACATCTACCCCCCAAAGATCAAGCTATTAATTTGGCTGTGCTGGAACTCTCTGGGCTCATCTGTACATCCATTTATTTTGGGATGAGTTCATTTCTTGCCATGAGAATTTTAGCCGTTTTATATTACAGCTTTTGGACTTAATTGCTGCCAACTGAGATAATTGTAGCCATGAACAGTTCTTTTCCCCCTTTTTCTCTCTTTCTCTCTTTTTAACAGTTTTTTTTTTTTGTGGTTATCATTGTTGATTCCTGCAGAGATGGTGAGGTTTCTTTCTCTTTATATCTTACCAGCAAAACTTGGCGTATCCCAAATAAATAATACATAGTGCATTAGTTGTTCATTAAGGAAGAGAAAGTTAAGTCATAATAAATTTCCCAGAGCCAAAGAACGCCCCTTTATCTTTTCTCTCAGAGGGTATTTGGGATATAAAATTAGAACAAACCTGAGGACATGTTGGTATGCATCTATGTGCTTTGGTTGCCAAGTACAAGAGGTGAAATAAGTCTCCGATAAATATCTTAGGAGGTACACACTTGTACTGGACAACCCGAAAATGACTGCCCTGTACTGGAAAGAACATAGCGCTCCCTTCAGTAATTGAGAGGCTTCTTTCTCTGTTTGTGGCTGCCTGTACTTGCTGAGTAGCTCAGTTGGCTGGAGCATTAAGTACCGACTGCTCCACAGGAGAGAACAAGCCCAGATTGCTCCGGGGTGCTGAGCTGGGATTGCTCAGCATGGACTGACGAGGAAGGAGGCCAGAGGTGAGCCCTGAAGAAACAACAGATTCTGGTGGGATGGGGACCACAGGGTGTCATCTGGCTAGCAGGGCTTCCCAGAAGGTAACAGACATAAGGACTACTTCCATTTTTTTTAAAGATCCTGATATAGTAAAACATAAATGCTGGGAAAGGTATTAAAATTGTAGCATGCTGGGACGCCTGGGTGGCTCAGCGGTTGAGCGTCTGCCTTTGGCCCAGCGCCTGATCCTGGAGTCCCGGGATCGAGTCCCACATTGGGCTCCCTGCATGGAGGAGGGATGCTTCTACCTCTGTCTATATCTCTGCTGCTCTCTGTGTCTCTCAGGAATAAATAAATAGAATCTTTTTAAAAAATTGTAGCATGTTTTAAGTTTTTACAACATTTAAAGCTATAAACAGAGTAGTTTTTTCTCTCATTGGTGTCCTTTGTAGTTATTTTACCTCATTGGAGATCATATCCAAAACCCATACTTGAGGCCCTCAGTGAATGTAGGCCTCAGCCAAATGCCTTCCTGGGATGCCACTGCCCCATAGTTGACCCCCAACCCAGATAACACAGCCCAACAGGCAAGGCCCATGCTGTCCTTAGAACTCCTTTTTTAACCTATACTCTGGGTGACCTGTACCCTAAGTAGATCCTTGACAAGTGTATGTTGAATAAAGGAATTGAGTGCTCTTTAAACATAACCAAGAACTTAGCACCT